AGTATTTCGGCGCATGCATGTTCGCAAGCATCATGTCTTCGCAGTTCCGCAGCCTTACTTGCTTGATTTGTCCTTGCTGTGTGTTCATTTGCCATGCAGTTGTCAGCCGAGTTTGTGAATAACCTGGTGGCGGTACTCAATGTCCTTGCATCCCAAGTTGCGACAGCTCTGGACACCCTGAACTTTGCCCTGATGACCGAGCGAAGCCATCCGTCAGACACTAGAGTGTCTCCCAGGGCACCACGGAACTCCAGGCACGGGCTGCGCCCTCGCATCATCACAGAGCGCATTTCGTCTGACCGATCCCGCTCTCCCACTCGAATTCGAACCCGACCTTTGGACACTTCATCCACCTGGTATATACCGGCCTTATCCCCGCCTCGTGCGGCACATCGGGATGCCGCTGACAACAATTCTGGTCGTCGGCCTGAATCGATGTTGGATCACCTGCCACCACCACGGCCGCTTGCTCCCTTAGCCCCACACGGCGGACGAGAACCGGGACAGATGACGCCTACGACACCTGACTCGGATTCTGATGGTTCAGTGCGTCCACATCCAGGTGCCTCGTCGTTCCGACCGTCTCCTACGGTGGTTCATGGACCTCGGGAACTTCTACAAGAATTCACCATTGCACTTCGCAATGCACACCGTGAACCTTTCACGGCATGGACACAGGGTGAGCTGGATGAGATGGTGCGACGGAAGAAAGACAAGGATTCCAGGCCCACCTACAAAACCATTGCTCGGTTCCTTCAGAAGCCCATTGAGGAAGTCAAGCAGGCATGGAAGGTCTATCAGCAACTTGAGGCTCGCGGCTAGGAACCCGGTCATCAAATGCAACAGCGACCACAGGAGGACTAAATGGTAGGCCGTGGCGGTGTATTCGGTTAGCGCTGCAGGTTGTTGCGACGGTTGGGATTGCAGTCATTATTGATCACATGAAATTTGCTTGCTTGCACTTGACTGGCATTTTACCAGGGTAATATTGCTTGCCGTTGTGGGTGTTGCCGCTGACGTGAATTGAATGCATGACTGAGTTGCTCAAATCATGTCGGAACAAGTCGTACAGACGTACATTACTTGGACCCATGGAGCGCAGCCGACGTGGTTACAGTTTCACGGACCTGGTGCCCTGCTTGACAGACCCATTCGGCAGACTACGTCACCTCCGCCCCCACCAAGTTTCCCACTGCTTCTTCCACCTCCGCCTCCTCCACCGCCACCACCACCGGTGATTCTACACCCACAGTTTATGCCCTCAGTACGGAGCCCCTCGATCTCAGCTCCTCGCGGACAATCCTGCCCTGCCACATCGAAATCGCAGCGCACACGCCGCTCGATCTACAGCACTGACAATTCCCGTGATGAAGAGCTACGCAGTCCAGGGCGTTCATCCAAACGATCTCGGACAGCATCCGCTTCTGCACCGCGGAGATCTCGGCGGCCCTTTACCGTGTTCCCCTCCAAACGTGCTGACCGTCCATCGCTGTCCCCATCGGCAAATTGCAAGCATTACTGTCATGCCTTCCTGCGCCATGGGCGGAAATGTCTTTCCCCTTGTGCTCGTAGACGACCAGGACATTATCATTGCAGGTGTGCGCGGCATCAACGGCGGTGAAGCTTAGGCGTCGTATAAGTCGTATATTACAAACCTCGCTGCTGTGTCTCACCTTGAGTTTGAAAAGTTGCCTTGCATTGCTTTGGTTGACACTTCAGCTGCGCGCGGTTGTCATTGCATGTGTGTCTTCGCCGCAGATTTTCGATTGCTTTTAGCGGCCGCGCGATAGCCTGTCTTGCCGCTATGAACCCTCAATATTTCGAGTACCAGATCGAGAGAGGAGTGGAATGGATTCGAATTTACTCACCGGGCACGTGGCGACCCGTTCCCGATGATGCTCCAGTGCTCGCCCCGGTCTACGCTTCCACGTATCGGGAGTGGCGCAGGTCATATCGCTTCCAAGTGTACTGGTCCGAAGACAGCACCGGAGGAACAACAGCGGATCCCATTGTCACGCCCAGTTCGTATGTGTCCTACCACGTGTGGGAGTACCGAGACTGGCAAACACGAGGGTATCAACGACTTGGAGCTCCTTTACCAGCCATTGGACTCGCGATGCTCGTGAATGCAGACGCCAATTCCTCGGTGGACTCATCGGTTCCGGATGGGGCGTGGCGAGAGCCGTCACCACCACCATTCTATGATCCTTGGAACGATTCGGAGTGATACTTGAGCAACATGTCGGATAAAATGACGCGGTTGTGCTTGCTTTGTGTGCGATTCCATGTTGAGTTGTCTTGCTTGGTGTTGTGCGTTCCGTCTCCAGTTGTTCGCCGCTTTCATTTGACTCTGAGCGGTTTGCCTGGTTGATATGTTCAATTGTACAATGTATAGCGCAGCACGATGGGTCCTGCCTCGCTACTTTGACTACGACATCGTCAATGGCCCCGCGAATACGAGTGTAGAATGGATTCGGATCTATGTACCGGGTCCGTGGCATCCAGTCGCCGAGAACACCTTGGGACCAGCCCCGGATGACTCAACCACCTATCGGGAATGGCGCAAGGTTTACCACTTCGAAGTGTATTGGCCGAGGGATAGCACAGGCGGCACCAATACAGGTGCTGTTTCGCAGCCGGTATCTTATGCATCCTTCTATACTTGGCATTATAGAGACTGGGTCACCAGGGGATACCAACGGCTGGGTCGCCCACACCCTAGCATTGCGCGGCCAGTTTTCGCTTCGGGCGCACCGGACCTCATGTACGCTGGATTGACCTCTTCATCGGCATCCTCCAACTCGGATGGTGGCTGATGCTCGTCCTCGCCTTCCTGGGGAGTCTGTTCAGTTCAATTCGATTCGGGAGATTGACTTCGATACCGGAGCCGTGCATTGCTGCAAAAGTGATTTCTTGCACTGTGGTAGTTGTGTCTCTTTCAGTAATTGTTGTCTGCAGCCGTACCTATCAATTTGTCTTTCCGGGTTTGCGTTGTCATGCCGTGGCTGGAATGGTGTCCGGATCCTCAACAACCAGATGCCCAGTGGGTCAAGATCTTTCATCCGGGATCATGGACTCCACATGAAGAACATGATGCTCCACCTCCACCGCACACGTATAGAGAGTGGAGGGAGTTCTATGCTCCCAACCCGGACCAAGACGGTGAGCAGCTCAATGTCACCATGTGGTACAAAAGAGACTGGGCCACAGAGGGCTATCGGAGAGTCGCTGCCCCTCAAGCTGGTCATGACTTTGATTCTATGTCTTTTCCTGATCATCACAGCGTGGCCACGCAATCCGCGGCATTGAGTATGTCACCGCAGATGTTAGAAGCGATCCTTAGATCCTCGGATGCGGCGGATTTCTCTACCGAAGAACTGACTCGTCTCCAAGAGGGGATTTCTCAACAACTGACAGCTCGCGCACGTCACGCTTCCCAACTTCATCAACCTGTACGTGCATCACGTGGAATCACACCATCGGAGACTGTTGGGGTCTCCGACCCATACCGGCCTGTTAATCCTCCCGACAGCTGCAAAGCCAAGGCGAGACCTATCTTCGAGCTAAATGAGGACTAGACGCACGCGAGTGGGGTAGCATACAAAATAAGGGTGGTTTCCACACTTGCATTACCTTGCTTGGTTGTTGCTTGTACATGGTTGTGCATGGTGCCTGTTCCTCTATCAGCTGGATCGGAGCCCGCGATACGCCTTGCCTCTTACTTCGACATGGACATCGAGGATTCGAAGCAGCACCCATGGCTCGAATACTCGGTCTGGCAGGATCAGGAGTGGGTGCGGATCTACACTGCAGGACAGCCTCAGCGATGGCACCACGGAGAAACTGTACCTGATCTACCAGACAATTCTTTTCGGGAATGGCAGCGGGTGACTGATCCCAATGGGCGCACTGGTGAGCACGGTCAGGCATGGACCATCCGCGACTGGCAGCATCAGGGATACCAGCGCATTCTGTCTCGAATGGAGTCCTTCACAACTCATCATTCGCATGATCAATCTCTTGGTGAAGTTCGGAATTCCGATGCCATTCCAGTTGAGGAGACGTTCACCTATGCTACTCCGTTTTCTCATGGTGATCGCTCGACTGCTTCACAACTCGCTTCAGTCCTCTATGGCGACACTCGTAATGCTCAACGTGGTGATCTCTCGTTCCCGTCTTCTGAGCGGTTTAGGGCTGTTTCTCGTTCCCCTCGCCGCGGTGGATTTTTTGGTCAACGATAGGGACACGGGGTTGAGCATGTGATCTTCCTGCGGAAAAGGAGACTTCTCGCCCCTCATTGAGGGGCGTGTGTGTGCGGAGTGACAGAATGCCCTGTCACCACCCTTTCGGTTTCTCAGCAGGGGGGTCACCCGCAGTCACGACCGGTGACCCAACGAAGAGGGTCGTGACCTGCGCTGATATCTGACCTGATCAGTCAGACGTACCTGCCGAGATGGTTGTGTTGTTCTGAATGTCCTTTTGGTCCCCCCCTGAACTGCCGTTGCTTCTGTGTGTCCCTGTTAAAGTAACTACAGGGAAGCCAAGCGTTATGCGAGTCGAACCTCATCATACTCGAGACTTATCAGTTGTACTCGAGACTCATCAGTTGTACTCGAAAGATTAGCACTCTCCATTTGGAGTTTAAGTGTGTGGGTGGGTGTGTGCCTCTTTGTGTGTTTGCGTGGTTGTGTGATTGTGGGCTATTGTGTTTGAGTTTCTGTCGTTTCTTTGAGGCTACCCTTTTCACCATGGTTTTGACTGGTGTGAACAATGGGGAGTGCTTTGGTGGACCTCTGGAAGAGTCATGTCCAGCCACCGAGGCGTCTCCCTTTTTCCTGGGCTCCAATTCGGAGGCTTCTGGCCCCATTGGCCACTCACTTCTTTTGTTTTTGGGGGGGGACCAAGAAAGTATCACAGAAAAACTGATCACCTAAGCTCCCCGTTTTCCACCACCGCCATCTCCAAACCCACCACCACCCCGAACTTCGTCCGACTCGGTCCTTGGATTTCTTGCACTTGTCGGACACCGCCGGCGAACTCATTGAGCCGAAGTACCTTGCCAAACCGAAGGAAAACCCCTCAAACATGGGGCCTCTCTACCAATTGGCGCTTTGCCATGCTCGTTTCGGGTAAATGGAATATGGATCAACGTCCGTGTCCTATAAAAAATACATGTCACCCAAAAAAAAACTCTTCGCAAAGTCGGCGTGGCTGGGAGACTCCGAGTCCCTCTGAGGTAGGTACCAGGACCCCCAATGCCCAGCCAAAAGGAACGCTAGTCCCTACAAGTCATAACTTGATATTCATTGCGACATGATTAGTGGGTTATTAGCTCCTCTCGAGATTGGAGTGGGGGCCTATTGTGGGCGCTGCTGACAACCGTAGGAACAAAGAAAAGCCTCGTCTTGGTTGCCGTTGACCCCTCTGCAAAAAGTGTAGAACTTCTTGTGGGTTCAATGTGGAAAACCATTGATTTCCCCGAAAAGTAAAGTCTAAAGATCCAACTCAATAGCCGTAGGAACAAAAAAAACACGCCTCGTATATACGCCTCTCCATGTTTCGGCACTCTGGCTTGCGGCTTTTTCAATCTGTTCGGCTTCCGTCGGGTCTCAGTACCTCTCTGAGAGATGCTCTTGGATAAACTTCCCCCGCCGTTTCCATCAGGTATCTCCTAAGTGGTTTGGATAGGTGGTTTGGACTTGGATGTGAGTCCCTGGTTCCCACCAATCCGAACCAATTAGGGGGGAGCTGCTGCCAGGGGCCCTTCTTTCCATGATTAGAGCTAGGCCCAGGTACAGAATGAGTACTTTATTGTTTGCTTCACTTTGAGTCCCTGGTAAAATGTAAAATGTATCCTAAGTCTGCCCCAACTTCCAAAACGCAAAAGAGCCGAAGGGAAGTCGTGGAACAGAACGAGCGCAAAGACCAAACTTTGCCAGCGCACGAGTCCGCCATTTCCCCAAAGTCCATGGCCAAGACAACCTCAGCGTCGAAGGACGCGCGGGTGTCTCCGAATGGGGACCCCAGAAAAGGTCGCTTTCTTATTGGATGTCTGCTTCGAGGATCCTGAAAACGAGACATCCCCATGTTTAGATATTGCAAGCAGGGAACGTGCTGATCTACTGGCAACATGCTTGATCTCTTCCATTCCCTGGCAATTTCTGTATCAAGTACAAGCAGTAACGGCATTTTTTTGCCTGTCGAGAAGCTCCCGTTCATGCCGACGATCAACTTACCCCGAGGCGACCAACTCGTGTTATTGTTGGGAGAAGTGAGACATTTCCCGGTGGGGTGTGGTTGTCAAACATGGAGTAACCCCAAAATGGGTTGCCCTGGGAAATGGAAACATGGAGCTAAAACCTGATCTCCTAGCTTTGACCCATACCCATTCAGAGTTGCGAATGAAATATTGGACATCAGAGTTCATGTCTACGTTCACGCGGTGCGAAGCCCCAGAGCAGCAAAAAAAGCGGACCCATCAGCTGCTAAGCACCAAAACCAAATAGACCGAAACGGTGGGTTTGCCACATCTGGACCCATGGTGCTCTGGACCCACAAACAAAACTCGCCAGCCGGTAGGAGTGAATGCTAGAAACCAAGCAGACTCCCTTGATGTAGATCCCTGCAAACATCACGGAACCACACCTTTTAATCGCCCGGCACCGTTCAAGGGATTCATGTACCTGGCTCTGGAGCAACCACTTCCAAACGGTTTTCAAAACTACGACTTCCCGTCAAGCTTCCCAGAACCGGGTTGATCCTTCACATGGAACATTCCGGGAAACCACCCGAAAGCCGAGGTTCGCGCATGGGAAAAGGAGTATTGATCTCAACCGCCAGGAGTATTGATCAACCCCCATAGGAGTCTGCCTTAAAATGCGGAAAGCTAAAAAGAGTTGACATCTTGGCTTCCGAGAAAGAAAAAAAAGAGGGAAAAAAGTACCCTCAAGGAATGCCCGCCCCGGCCGGTTTCATGTGCTTCGCCTTCGCCTCAGCTCCGGGCCGGCAAAGCAAGCAGCACGCGCGCCATGGTCTCAAAGGATCCGGCCAGTTTTACGCCTCGTTGGTCGACTGGTTTATGGAAGATGACTGCTGATGGAGCTGTATAGTGGATGTATATCTATATATATATAATGTAATATGTATATATATATATATGTATATATATATACAGGGCTATGTTGGGACAGTATGACCATGTCTGGGTGACTGGCAGGGATTTACGGAGACAGTTGGCTTAAACAGTCACCGGCATGTCCAAACCGTGTGCACTGGCATCCAGCGCCGCGTCCAAGTAAAACGAAAGACCCGGGCATTCACGCTCGGTGGCTTTCTGCTCCCCCTGCTAAAAGGTTAACTTTTAGTGGTTTAATGGAAAGTCCATTGGTTGGCAAAAAGTTAAAAGTCCCAACATCCCTTGGCAAAATGCACCAAAGTTTATTACCGTCGAACCATGTGGCAGGGGCCGCATACCAAGAAACCTCCTCCGGGTTTGGGCCAATGGAGACCGAGTGGTCCATGCGTGGCCTACTTTGAGGCCAGCAACCCGTCCGGGTGGTCTTGAGCCACGGCCCAAGTTGCGGCCGGCCCGAGCCGTTGGCATAGGCGTCCTTCTCGGGGGAAATCGAGGGGTTGCCCTGGTAGATGAGAAAAAACATCCGCCAGGTAAACTTCAGGAGTCGCTATGTATGTTTCTAGCAAAACAACCACAAAGGACACCCATGGCTGACATTCGCCGCAGGTTCCCCACGCTTTGAATCGGCCATGACAAGATCTCGGATGTGGATTTCCGTGGGAACCAAAGGGCGCCCTTTGTTGGCTCTTCACAAAATGGGCGAAAGGGCGCCGGGCCACCGGGCTACGCTGATTAAACAGAATTGAGACACCACGATACTGAAGAACATGGAACTGAGAAGGCCGTACAGACCGCGGAAATCCGGCCAATCGACCTGCAAGCAATGAACATTCGCCCAGAACCCTCGCGTCTCTCACCAAGCACATTTGCGGGGGAGGGGGGGGGGGTGAGGGGGTCCGACTTGACTCGCCATCTTGACATATTCATAAGACCATCAGTTTTCAGTCCACACAAGAATGCATTGTTAGGATCGGCCTCTTGTGTTGGGGGACTGCTTTTGTAGGTCCATTTAAAAGGCTCCCAAGGCGGATGCTTTTCAGCTCTTTCGTTTGGGTCCTCCAGATGGGTTCCTTCTGGTGTCCCTTTCAAAATTTTCCAAAAGAGGCTCCAACTATTTTGAGACACCCTCTTGCAGCGTCCTCTCCAGGGGTGGTTCCACACTGGGATCAAACAAAAACACGGCGACTCGCGTCAACCCACTTTTCGCGAGCGACTCAGCGACTTCGGGATCGGGGATCCGAATCCAATCCGAGGCAAGTGTTGGACTTGCAGAGCCTCCCTTCGCATGGTCTCTTCGCCTTTTCTTGGCTGTCCTCAGATCACCCGCGAAAAGTGACGAACTTTTAGTGGGTGAAATGGCAATCCCCACTAAACACTACAATGCGAAGAAGCTGGGAACCACCAAGTTAAGGATTAACTTGCCAAATGTGCATGTTTGGACTACTGCAAGGTAGACTGCATCTCTCGGTTTAGGTCTGTCTTGCGGTGATGATGTTGTTGTTGATGATGATGATGATGATGATGCTGATCAAAAACTGGAATGTCCATGAACCATGTGCCACGCGCCTCATGGCTTCCGTGTTTGTCGCTTGTTCGCAATCCCGTTCACCAAAGCGATCAGCATGGGGTAGGAACAAATAGTTCTACGCCCCCTCCCATCGGGGATCCACTTTTGAGTGTCCCGGGACGCGGTGGACTTCCATTCAGGAGGGTTTTGCAAGACTACTTTTGAATCGATTCTTTTTTCTGAGAAAGGGGGGGCTGAGGATTCCATGCCCGGAAGAGGCAGACATGCTTGGCGTTATTCAAGTCTGAGAAGAATGAAACCGAACATGTGAGTCGAGTTGCTCGCTTCTTAGGCGCCTCGGAATAACGCCGCAAGCAGCCCAAAATCTGAAAGCAACCTGAAAGAGTGGAAGGCGACTTGAGCAGTTTCCAGGATGAGGTCTAACCAAAGAAGGGCCACTCCAATCCAAAAACAAAAAACAAAAGAGAGACATGGTACTCCAGGAGCCAAACACGAGCACCTTTAAATGTCGTCCGCGAGCAGGGAGCAGGGAAGATTTGTGTATTACTCGGGTTCCCCAAGGCCCCCATTCGAACGTCAGAAAAGGAGACTTGGTGGGGAAAGCTCCCTTTGACCTTGTGTCCAAGGAAGGGGAAAAGACCAAGAGTTTGAACTGGATAGAGGGCAGATGGAACTTAGAGGCCCACATGAATATTTCAACTGGGGAATAGGGAAAGCACTGAACCTCTACCATGGGTTGTGGTTGGCTTGCTTGCAACATCCAGGAAACCAACAGTACTGGATAGCTCATCTTGTATTTAAAATCTTCATACAGGCCCGTGTTTTTTTCCACTATCAAAGTCACCTCCTAAGTAATAGGTTAGAGGGAAACACCCCCAGTTGCTGACTTTGATAACCTAACAAAACAGGCAAAATAATGACCCCAGCCATAGGAATCACAAATTTATGCGTGCGAGTCTCAAACTGGTGGCCCTGAGAAACACGACCCAAGGCGGCCAGGGGGGGTTTGTTGGGGTCTTTGCCAAGCTGATCCACGTGCTTAAGCCCTGGGAAAAATCGATGCATATATCCAGTGATTGATTCCCTTAAAACCAACTGGGAAAATAAAGCATTTTGTTCAGTACATGGTGTTTTGTTGTTCTGTTAGATTTCCTTTGAAACCATGAGGTGACCAAAAAAGGACAACACCGGAAATGGAAGGGATGCACAGGTCCACAGAGCCCATGGGTGGCAACCGGGGACTTTTCGACAAGTTCAAAGCAATCGGAACCTACTCCCTGGAAGTCGTCGACTGGCCAGTGACTTGGGGCCGATCTGACAAACCAAACACAGGCAAACCACAAGAAATCAACTTGTTCTGGGTGGGTCTTGGGAAGTTAAACTTGTAGAATTTCCCGGTAGCTGCTTTCCCTGCCCAAATCAAGGAAGTCAACCCTCCCTACCCAAGAGACACTCAAGGGTAAGGGGCGACCCTCGAATGTCCCCGAAAGGAAGCGTCTGGCCCGCTTCCGCCCAGTAAGAAACCAAGCAGTTGCAGGAATCGGATCCTAATTTTAAGAGCAAGGGTCCAAGGGTCCTGTCGCCCTGGCTTGCCCCTTTTGATCCAGACTTCCAGGGTACGCTATCTACATGCCAGACTCGTCCCCTGAAAGCCAGTATGCTTTCAACTTTTGCCCGCACACCTGCTGCAAATCAGCTCCACTCTTTCTCAGAGCTTTTGGGCAAAACTGATTTGGGTGTGCCTCACCAACGTTGGTGGTTCCTCATTTCCCTTTAAACCCACCCAAGAAGGGGAAGCTCAAAAAAAGACACACCCAGCACAGGGCGTGCGTTCTCAACAGCTCCAGTTTTGAGGTCCGGGTGCCCTGTTCTTCTTCAAGCGCTCGGGGACGAGTCCAGAAAAGGCGGAAGAACGTCTTCCCCTCTGTGCTGAAAGCTGGTAGCGCCAGGAAGCATCAAACACTTGGGTGCGCTTGCCTGCAGCACACTTATTATCAATCCACACCACCAATTCAGCTTGACCTGATGTAAGAGACGCAACAAGCTCTGCTCCATGCGGAAAGGCCACAGGAACGCCACCCCGGTTGCCTCTCGATCTCCGGGAAGGGCAAGGGACTGCTGTGGACGACCTTTAGATGTGTCGAACTTTCTGATTCATTTGCAAAACGGTGGGACACTTCAAACAGCTACTAGTCTTTGCTGGTTCTCAGCAGGGAATGAGGGAATGGCCGCTGATAAACCGCCCCGCATGATGAACCTTTAAGGGAGTCTCTAGGTTCATTCCTAAACCCTTTGTCAAGGAATGAGGTTTGTGCGTACCATGAAGTGTTGTTCTTCCCAACAAGTATCACATCCAGAGCATCTGGGCACGCCAAAATCCACTCGTCTGCACGCGATCAGAGGCTTCCCCAGGGTTTGCCCCCCCAACCAAAACCAAGATGTTTGGCCCCTATGAACCTCAAAATGGTTAATTCATGTTCGAACAGAGCACTGATATCTGCAAGGTGTTACCCATATTTCCATGCCGTATATGATTCTAGAATGCGTTCAAGGATCTTCGTGGTCGAGAAATGTGGCGTCCTGGTTTGCAAATCACCTTTACAGGTGCTCCAAATCCCCTTTGGCAACGACTTCCGGAAAGGTTTCCCTTGACCGAAAGGTCCGACTCCCAGTTTGAGCAACTCACAGAAGGCTGCCCTGTTGGGACGGTAGCCTTTTGGGAAGGGTTTATGTGGCTCTGTCCTTTTTTCGAGGGTACCCTTGTTTGGTGGTTTAAAGGGAAACCAAGAGGAAAACCGAAAATTCAGTTTGGATTTTGAAAGTCCAACCGAAAAAGCCCAGCCCAAATGGAAATCAAAAGGATGCCCATTTTCAGAAACTCTCCTACTCGTGTCGCCAGGAGATCCAAAGCCCATGTGTCGCGAGACAAACTTCTCGAGGCTCGGTCGAGACTCGGAGACCTCACGTGGAGAGTCTGGCTAGTAGCTTCTCGCCTTGCGAAAGAGGCGGGGTCAAGATGTGCCTGGTGGGTGATTTTAAAGAGGCGAACAAACATGGGTGGTGTTCCCTCCAAATGTGACAAATCCCCACTGAAACCAGGGACACCCCCATGTCAATGAACAGGGGTTGATTTCATCTGGGGACCATAGGTGTCCTTTTAGGGGAAATCGATGGGTTTCCCTGATAGATGAGGAAAAAACCACCAGGTAAACCAGGAATCGCCATCTCTTTTTCGACCAACACGTCCGATTGGTTGGCCCCACATTCCAGATCACACCTACAAGTGGTAACTGGGAGGTGCTAAACTGGGGGGGTCTCCTCCCAGAATCAAGTATTTTGGGGCTAGATATGGAACAGAGTCAGAGCCTGATTTTGGGAGTACTTTACATGTTAGGCTCAGC